TTATGACCGTTTTCATACTTATGACCGTTGCAGCATCCCCATGATCAAAATTCAGAAGCTGGGCAACTGACTCATATTTATGACGGTCGCAGTGTCCCGGGGTCATGTGATCCCCTTTTGCGACCTTCTGACAAGCAAAGTCAACGGGGAAATCAGTTTCACTTAACAATTGTGTTTCTAAGTCAACAATTACCTTAATTCATTTAACAGCTGTGGCAAGAAAGGTCGTAAAATGGGGAAAAGCTCACTTAACAACTGTCTGGCTTAGCAACAGAAATTTGGGGATCCATTGTGGTTGTAAATTGAGGACTATCTGCACTGGAGAAACTGAAGGGAAAATGTCAGCAAGGAGATATCAAATACAGATTGTTCTCATTTAAAAACCACACTGAGGTTGTTAAGAGAAGCAGTCACTTGCTTTTGCTTTATTTATTAAGCAAATTTATATAGCCACCTTAAGGTCTTAAATGCAAGGATTGGTCACAAAGTTAGCGTTACATCCCTGTTATAATTGCAAATGGTCGCTGAATGAAATACCAAGGTATCCCCACACCCCTCCCTTAATGGAAGACTCACATTCACGGTAACAGAGAATGGAATTTAAAAGAACAGGTTCTCCCATTCATGAAAACAAGGCGATAGACTTCACCCTTGCTTCACCTAAAAGCTATGAATATAAATATAATCCCAGACATTGTCACTAAACTGGAAGCAAAGGTAAAATACTGCCTCCGATTGAACTCTACTCCTGGTGACCACATGGGATGGTTAATCAATTTCTTTTGACAACAACGCAACTAATCTGGTAATCTCAATTACACCCGGGGCTCCTTAGAGAACAAGTTTTACGATAATTTATTGACTGCTTTTAACCACTTTTGCTTTATAAGGTTTCCATAGTAGCTTGAAGGAATGAGCTTGTGATTCTTAAGGCGATGGTAGGATTTTTCATGTTGCCACGAAAAATCCAAAAATTGACTGGAAAAAAAAAAAGAGGAAAAACTGAAGCTTCATAATGTTGTTAACCTGGGTCAACTTTCACTGCTATACTAAGGTGGAAAGGTCTATATCATATCAGTTAGGTTGTTTTACTGTAGCTTTGTCCACCACCTTCGGTCTGTTGATTTGTCAGCCCATAAATCCAAATAATGAATAAATCAAATCCATGGCAACCTTTATTTCCTAAATGTGACTAGCTCACTGCATCCAAAGTGAAAATGAGGATAAAATTGTCTTCTGGAAGGGAGGGATAACTATGCCAATTGTTTGCCACACAGAACAGGAAGAGGCCAAAACATTGACAATTCTAACTACGGTAGTGGCCAAAATTGTGGAAAGCTTTTGGGAAAAGTGTACAGTAGAAATGCCACCTTTGGTTAAGTTTCCACCAATTTTACTTCTCATTTCTTTATAACTGTAGCTTTGTTCACCATAATGGAGCCTACCCACCATGGTCCTAGCTCCAGTGGTGGGATTCAGCCAGTTCACACCACTTCGGCAGAACCGGTAGCTAATTTTTTGTTGCCCAGGCCCAGAATGGACTTCCAGAAGTGGCATCCACACAGAGAACCAGTGGTTCACATATTTGAATCCCACCACTGCCTAGCTCATGATGGTCATAAAGGGGCATAGTCACGTGATGACCCATTTTATGATTCATTAAGTGAATCCACAGCAGTTAAGCGAGTGCCATGATTGTCAAGCAAATCAATGATTTGCTGTGGGTGCGGCTTGGCCAAAAACCAGAGGCAAATGTTGGTTTTCAGCAAAACCATCCTAAAACATGGTCATGTAACTGCAGAATGCTGTAAAAAGGACATCAATGTGGTCCAGGCAGTGAAGATTTGAAGTGAGATCACATGTGTGTGTGTGTGTGTGTGTAGCGGGTGACCATCAGAATTTGAAATCTGGGTCATAAGTAACCCCCCTTAGGTAAATCCATTGGAATTTTGAACGGTCACTAAGCGATCGGTCATAAGTTGAGGTCGCCCTGTACTTAAGAGAAACTAATACTCACCATGAATATACGAGAAAAAAAATTATGTGAATGAAATCAAAATACCTCTCATTGCTTCATGACTGAAAACATTTTAAACCAGGGGTCTTCAAACTTGGCCCTTTCAAGACTAGTGGACTTCAACTCCCAGAATTCCTCAACCCGCGTGCCTGGCTGAGGAACTCTGGGAGTTGAAGTCCACAAGTCATAAAAGGGCCAAGTTTGAAGACCCCTGATTTAAACAGAGAACGTTTTAAACAGAAAATGAGATCTCAGTGATGTGCCTGTTATTTATTTTAAAATCACAGGATCCCCTAACCAAGCATAGAAGCTAGATTTTTTTTTTCCTTCTTAAAAAGAAAATGAAAAATTCCTTATTCTTACAACTGTTGATGAAGTTATGTTGTAATTGCAACTTTATGGTTAACAATCTCCAGAATTTCACATAAGAATTTCGGTGGACACAAAGCTCCAAAATATGACAGTAGTGTCTCTTATTTATGTGAAAAGTAGAATGTTATGCAAAACAGGCATATACTTAGGAAAGAAAGACATTTCCTCTCCTTAATTGATTTATACAGGTTGCAAAAAAAGCTTTTTCTTCAAGCAGGATTGTCTGAGGTTGGCGCTTTAAGTCATACAATATTCAGTTCTATGTTTTGGTGAAGGTGCCAAACTGCAGACTAGGAGGATGGGAGTCGTATTTTTCTCTCGGGCACACAAACCAAATGGGTGACTTTGGACCCATCACTCGAAGTGTTGTTGTTGTTATGGAGAAAATAGTGCAGGCACATTATGTACGCTGCTGTCTGGCATGAAGAATCCAGACCACATGTTAAGTTCCAGTTAAGCTGATTTATTGCTCATGCCTATACAAAAGGATATCGTCAACTAATGGTCAGCACTAAATTGGCTCTAGGTAAGAGTCAACAGAATTCAAGAGGGGTTGGATGAAGACCATTTGTGAGAATGTAAGGATTCCAGGCTGATTCCTCTTTTGACTCCACCCCCAGCTGTGCTTGCTTTTCCACAACTGCCTTGAATTGTACAAAATAAAGGTGGGCTTATATAGCTAAAAAAAAGGTGGGATATACACCTAATAAAAAAAGGATATACACTCTTCATGGGCCAACATCCTGACTCCATTGTAAGAACTATATTTGTAGATTGTCTCCAGCTACCGCTAACAATGTGGAATACCCTATGCCAGGCATGTCAAACTCGCAACGTCACGTGACGTCGCATAACCTATTGGGACTTTTTCCCCATTGCCGGCAATGAAGTGGGCGCGGTTTCAGTGTGACGCATCCGGTCTGTGGGCCAGCAATTTGACATGCCTGCCCTATACAGTGTAGTTTAGATCAGGGGTCCTCAACCCCCGGTCTGTGGACCAGCACTGGTCCATGGCATGCCAGCAACCGGGCTGCGCAAACAAGCAAAGCTCCATCCGCGGGATAGAAGCAGCAACACAAAACCACACCCCCTCTGGTCCACGGAGACACCTTTCTCCATGGAACTGGTCCCTAGTGCCCAAAAGGTTGGGGGCCACTGGTTTAGATTATCACCCCTGTGCTATCCTTTCTGTACTAGATGAAGACATTTTAATTCCTCAAGACTTTTAAACATCTACTAATTTTTGTCCAAATTCTTTACCTCTTTAAACTTCAGTGTATTTTCACTGACTGCTATCGTGCATTCCTTGCTTTGACTGCCTTCTATGCTGTTCTTTTAAAATTATTAACAGAATAACAGCATTGCAAGGGACCTTGGAGATCTTCTAGTCCAGGGGTAGGCAACCTCGGCTCTTTTATGACTCATGGACTTCAACTCCCAGAATTCCTGGGTCAGCATAGCTGACTCAGGAATTCTGGGAGCTGAAGTCCATGAGTCATAAAAGAGCCGAGGTTGCCTACCCCTGTTCTAGTCCAACCCCCTGCTCAGGCAGGAAACCCTATATTTGATGTTGTAACTTGAGATTTGTACTAAAGATTTACGTATGTTATTGAACTATTGATTAACCCAGCCACCACGTTGCTTTCTAAATACTCAATTGTAAAATTAGAAAACTAATAAAATATTATTAGGGGAAAAAAACCAACGGATCATCTTATGTGCTTAATACAAGCCATCCTGGAGAAAATATTTTGAAATACGGCACGAGCATTTCTAAAAAAAAAAAAAAAAGCTGAAATACATTTTTTAAAAAAAGTTCTGCCCACCCTATGCTCTGGTAGTGTAATGTAATGGCTTTTAATTCATTTTCTGAGGAGAATTAAAAAAAAGGAGTTCTGTAACGGCTCCTATTAATTATTCTACCTTTCATAATCGGAATGATTCATTATATTATGAGGAATACAGCCGTAGCTTAGTGACCCATCTTAATCATGAAAAAAAATCAATTCACTGCAGGTTCTTATACTTTGCTATTTCTAATGGATGTCAATGGTCAATAGGAAGAGTATAAGAATAGCTACTTAGAAAAGGAATAAGGAAAAATCACCTATCTTCATTTTGGCTGCAGAAAACATTTTTTTATGTGTGAATTACCAACCGATCATTATAGGAATTTTATTGAACATTCACATCTGATGGTCATCCTTTGATTATCAATCTTATTATTTATCTCCCTTTCATAATGGGATAATCAGCTAGGCAGAAAAGGAAGAAGATAAAGAAATAGGAGATGGAAAATGAGAAAGAGGACAGAAAAATAATGTGCAAGGTTTTGAACATTTCCTCACTTTGATTTGACAGATGGCGGTGGTTATTGAGAGCTAATGAAGGGGTGATTACAAATACAATGTGGTGTAGTGGTTAAAGTGCTTGTCTAGCATTAAGGAGAACCAGGTTCAAGTCTCTCTCAGCCATCAATCAAACCGAATCTTTATTACAGTCATAGACCAGCACTTGGCATTCGCTAAATGGCGATCCCCTTATGTAAGAAAAGAATAGTAGAAAAGAATAGTGAGATCCAGACATTGTCTAAATATACGGGATATTTTACCTTGTGAACCAATGTAAGTTATTTGGATAAGGAAGGCGCCCATGATGCAACCAGCTCCATTGAAGAAAGTCAATATTTGCATGGCAACCCCACGAATTTGGCCTGGCAGAAACCTGAATGTAATGAAGACACCTTTGCAAAGGAAGAGGAAAAAAAATAATTATGAAGGAGAACTACCCTGGGGATGGAGAGAGGCAGGCCAGAGCAGTGGTTAGGGAGGTGGATTGGGATATGGCAAAGGTGGGGAAACCTTGGCTCTTTTATGACTCGTGGACTTCAACCCCCAGAATTCCTGAGCCAGCATGGCTAAGCATGGAAACCTCTCCCTTTCTCCTCAGCATGGCTGGCTCAGGAATTCTGGGAGTCGAAGTCCACAAGTCATAAAAGAGCCAAGGTTTCCCCCCCCCCCCGGGATATGGGAAGGAAGTGACTTCCATATCACCCTTGACATGTTCCATGTCCACATCACCCACTAGCCTTGGCCATGCCTGACCTCAGTAAACCCCAGGTCACAAAATAAAGAACCACTTAAACTTTTCTGCCCGTACACGTAGTCCTCAGCTTACAACTATTCGTTTAGCGACAACGGGACTGAAAAAAAAGTGACTCGTGACCATTTTTCACACTTACAACCATTGCAGCCTCCTCATAGATACATGATCAAAATTTGGACGCTTGGCAACTGGCATGTATTTATGACATTTATAGTGTCCCGGGGTCACGTGATCACCTTTTGCGACCTTCTGACCAGCAAAGTCAATGGGGGAGCCAGATTCAGTATACAACTGTATTATTAACTTAAGAACTGCAGTGATTCACTTAACAACTGTGGCAAGAAAGGTCGTAAAATAGGGCAAACCAGACACTTAACAACTGTCTTGCTTAAAACAATGGAAGTTTTGAGCTCGATTGTGGTTGTAAGCCGAGGATTATTTATACTGACACTTGGGCTAAACTGACAAAATGCATCTCTCGCCCACTAGGAAATTGGCAAATATCGATCAAAACCATAAGAAATCCCTCAGAATATGGAAATCCTTTACAGATGCAATGAGGTTGAGACTGGCCAATGGTTGCAAGCTCATTCAGGTAAACAGTCTTTTCAGGATACCAGAAATCACATCTATTAATAAATTAAAAGATCCCTTCCTCTGTGTGACTTCTAAATGTTGATTAAGTTAATTAAGAATAGAATAGAGCTGGAAGGGACCTTGGAGGTCTTCTAGTCCAGCCCCCTTCTCAAGCAGGAGAACCTACACCAGGGGTAGGCAACCTTGGCTCTTTTATGACTCGTGGACTTCAACTCCCAGAATTCCTGAGCCAGCCATGCTGAGGGGAAAGGGAGAGGTTTCCAAGCTGAGCCATGCTGGCTCAGGAATTCTGGGAGTTGAAGTCCACAAGTCATAAAAGAGCCACGGTTGCCTACCCCTGACCTACACCATCTCAGACAGGTGATTGTCTAGTCTCTTCCAGTGATGGAGCACCCACTATTTCTGGGGGTAAGCTGTTCCACTGGTTGATTGTCCTCACTGTCAGGAAGCTTCTCCTTAAGTCCAGATTGCTTCTCTCTTTGGTCAGTTTCCAACCCTTGTTTCTTGTCCTTCCCTCTGTTGCTCTGGTGAACAACCTGACCCCTTCTGCCTTGTGGCAGCCCCTCAGATATTGGAACACTGCTATCATGTCTCCCCTATTTCTTCTTTTCTTTAGACTAGCCAAACCCAAGTCCCTCAGCCGTTCTTCATATGTTTTAGTCTCCAGGCCTTTGATCATCTTAGTTGCTCTTCTCTGAATTTTTTCTAAACTCTCAACATTTTTGTGATATGGTGACCAAAATTGGCTGTAGTATTCCAGCTGTGGTCTTTAGAAGGAAGTCAGTTGATATGGTAAATAATTGGGGGGGAAAGCCATAAGCTCAGCAGGGTGCCTAATCACTAAACACCCCCTTTTGCTATACACTTGAGACCCGTAATTTATACCTATCTTCAATTGCTGTACTGCACATTATGCTATCAAAATAAACTCTGCCTTTACTCTAAGCAACTTGCCTATGTATTGTTTAGATGACTTGGCTTGGATTCAAACCCAGATCTTTCCTAGGATTTAGTCTGAAATCCACCCCCAGCCATGGAAGCTTAAGCAATATTTTGGGGGCCAGTATCTCTTAGCCCAGTCTTTACAATCTCAGCAACTTTCAGATGCGTGGACTTTAACTCCCAGAATCTGGGTGCGGAAAACATGCTGACTGGAGATTTCTGGCAGTTGAAGTCCATACATTTTAAAGTTGCTGAGATTGAAAAACACTATTTTAGCCCAATATAGGACATGATTGATAAGACAGTAAGCTTGGAGAGAAGAAGACTATGAATTAGGGCTTGTGTAGGCTTCAAAAATGGTTGGAAAAAGTGCTTTGGATTTCGAAGAAATCAAAGGCATCAACCACGTCTTGGGTCTAGGACAGGGCAACCTTGGCTCTTTTATGACTCGTGGACTTCAACTCCCAGAATTCCTGAGCCAGCATGGCTCAGCTTGGCAACCTCTCCCTTCCCTTCAGCATGGCTGGCTCAGGAATTCTGGGAGTTGAAGTCCATGAGTCATAAAAGAGCCAAGGTTGCCTACCCCTGGTCTAGGACAACATGCTGTGGCCGACTCGCCCCAACTGAGTCATCGCAGGCCAACTCGTTGTGAGACAACTTGTCGTGGGACAATTTAATGCAAGGTAACTCAAAAGAGGGAGGAATGAATTGCTGCGGACCTTGTCTTGCTTCAGGTTTGAACCTTCTCAAGTTAGAAGTCCTGGAGGCTGGAGTGAGCTGCAATTCTTCCTGCTTCTCTTGAGTTATCTCATGTTCAATTGTCCTGCAGTAAGTTGTCCTGTGATGAGTTGGCCATGGCAAGTTGACCGGGATCAATTGGCCAGGGTGGAGATGACTGGGGCGAGTCAAACGGGGTGAGTTGGCTGCAGTCAGTTGTCCCAGTCCATCACTTCTCTGCTATTCATGAAAGTGGCCTGTTTTTTTTCCTCCAAGCTTCTGCATGAACCTGAAAAAAAAGATGCTGCACCTTTAAGGAACACAGAATTTTCCTCCCAAATTCTATGCAGGAGTTTTTTTTTTAAAAAAAAGGAAAGTGGTTTTAGCAAGTAGCAGCAAGTGATCCTATTATGACATGGAACTTGGCTGAAGCACTTCTTTGAAATCTTTGTTGTAGTCTGCACAGAGCTCCTATGTCAGTGGTTCTCAACCTTTTTAATGCCGTGACCCCAACCGGTTGTAAGTCGAGGACTAAACTGGTCGTAAGTTGAGGACTAAACCGGTCGTAAGTCGAGGACTAAACCGGTCGTAAGTCGAGGACTACCCAACCGGTCGTAAGTCGAGGACTTTCCCTGCCCGGGAGTGCTGCGCATGCGTGGTTCCGACCCCTTGCCGGCTGAGGCGTAGCTGGCAAGCGGCAGAGACGGAGCAGGCCGACCACCAGCTGGCCCAGCCCAAGGGAGGTAAGGCACCCGCCGGAAAAGGGGAAAAAATGGCGGACAAAAAAAATGGCGGACAAAAAAATGGCGGACAGCCTTGTTTGGCGACCCCCATGAAATGGTCGATCGACCCCAGATGGGGTCCCGACCCACAGGTTGAGAACCACTGTCCTATGTAATATGTTGCCTCAGAGCCCTGCAAGAAACACAGGATACTCAATGCAACTAGCAAAACAACAAAGAGGCAGGGAGGTTTTTGCTGCAGCACCATATTTGCCGTGGTGTCATCTTTGCAAGGCAAATGTAATTCCGTATTCTGAAGGGAGGAAAAAAAGGCAGAAATACATGAAGGGAATGCTACGTTTGCTTCATTGGTCACCCAGCTTTCCCTGGCTTTTTTCCTTTCTGCACAGATTAGAAATGGGCAATCTGCCCTGTGAAAAGTCCTCCATCCATAAAATTGCCATTGAACTCTCACAGAAATGACTATTTGGTTGATTTTGAAAAGTAACATCCTGGGTCTTACAGTATACTGAAGAAAGAAGAACAGAAGAACAGAGTTGGGAGAGACCTTGGAGGTCTTCTAGTCCAGAGGTCCCCAATCTTTTGGGCACCAGGGACCGGTTCCGTGGAGAGAGGGTGTGTGGTTTTGTGTGCTGTCTGCATCTAGCAGATGGGGCTTTGCTTGTTTGTGCGGCCCGGTTGCTGGCATGCCGTGACCCAGTACTGGTCCATGGACTGGGGGTTGGGGACCCTTGTTCTAGTCCCACTGGTTGTCCAGTCTCTTCTTAAAAGCCTCCAATGATGGAGCACCCACAGCTTCTGAAGGCAAACCATTCACTGGTTCATTGTTCTCACTGTTAGGAAATTTCTCCTTAGTTCTAGGTTGCTTCTCTCTTTGATTAGTTTCCATCCATTGTTTCTGTTGACCCCCCCCCCCTCTTCTTTGTGGCAACCCCTGACATATTGGAACACTGCTATCATGTCACCCCTAGTCCTTCTTTTCACTAGACTAGACATACCCAATTCCTGCAACTGTTCTTTGTACATTTTAGCCTCCAGGCCCCTAATCATCTTTGTTGCTCTTATCTGCACTCTTTCCAGAATCTCAACATCTTTTTTTTATAATATGGTGAGGTTAAAAGGATGGAAGTTAACCTTCTCTTCAGCTCCTTTGATCACATATAATGAATGGAAAGAGTCCCCACCACCAGCAGTAAATCAGGCACTTCTCTTAACCACAAAGAGCATTATCCTTGAGCAAGCAATCAACACAAGGATGACAAACAAAAGCTCTTTCTGTAGGAATGATCAATAAGGAGGCCCAGAAATGCAGTGGAGGAACACCAGGGTGACGAGAATAATAAAGGAATCCCTCAACCATCCCTGGTCAAACAGGCATCATTCTGGGTTTAAAACAGTTGATCACGATCACATGAAGTGTTAATACCATTTTATAATGCCTTGGTAAGGCCAAACTTGGAATACTGCATCCAGTTTTGGTCACCACAATGTAAAAAAGATATTGAGAAACTAGAAAGAGTGCAGAGAAGAGCAACAAAGATGAATAGGGGCCTGGAGGCTAAAACATATAAGGAACAGTTGCTGGAATTGAGTATGTCTAGTCTAATGAAGAGAAAGACAAGGGGTGGCGTGATAACAGTGTTCCAATATCTCAGGGGTTGCCACAAAGAAGAGGGAGTCAAGCTATTCCCCAAAGCGCCTGAAGGCAGGACAAGAAGCAACGGATGGAAACTAACCAAAGAGAGAAGCAACCTAGAACTAAGGAGAAACTTCCTGACAGTTCAAACAATTAATCAGTGGAACAATTTGCCTCCAGAAGTTGTGAATGCTCCAACACTGGGAGTTTTTAAGAAGAGATTGAACAACCATTTGTCTACAATGGTATACCAGTGGAACAGCTTGCCTTCAGAAATCGTGGGCACTCCATCACTGGAGATTTTTAAGAAGAGATTGGACAAACATTTGTCTACAATGGTATACCAGTGGAAGAACTTGCCTTCAGAAATCATGGGCGCTCCATCACTGGAGATTTTAAAGAAGAGACTAGACAGTCACTTGTCTGAAATGGTATAGGTTCTCCTGTTTGAGCAGGTGGCTAGACTAGAAGACCTCCAAGATCCCTTCCAGCTCTGTTCTGTTCTGTTCTATTCTATTTATTCATGAGGAAATGGAACAGAAAAGGGGTTCTTACAGGTGGGGGTCACCAGAGTTTCTGCTACGCCAAGCAAGAGATACTGTGGGGCCAGATGGAAACACGGCATGGAAGAAACAAGGAGAGTTTTTCCTGAAAGTGTCTGTTCAACCAGAGGGAAATGCTTCCGACGTAGCTCAAAGAAACCAGCAACAACCATGGAAAGAGTTGCAGATGTGTTACCTACAACTGAGTATCAAACACAAAAGAACAATTAATGTTGTACAGAAATATATAAATTGTAAACGGTAATAAAAACTGCATGTGCCATGCTCAGTGAAAACAGACTTTTTAAATATTCCAAACATTTGCTATCTTAATCCCCAACTTATACCAGGCATTTTTCATTTTCTGTTGAAGAAATTATATTTTATCTGTATCAATTTTTGTGGGGGGAAATGGTGTATTTTTCTAGACCTCAAATTTTTATCACCATCGCTTCTATAGGTTTCTAGAGCTCTTCTTCTAGAACGGGCAGGGAACGATGACCCCTTTATGACTTGTGGACTTCAACTCCCAGAATTCCTGAGCCAGCCATGCTTATTCGGGTAAATTCAGTCTTTGGAATTGCAAAGGGCTAAGTTCATTACGGCGGAGTCTGGTCAAATGATCTGTAATGTTTCTCCCAAGGTGTCTTGCCACTTGGGCCAAGTTGTCAATGTATGAGATTATGAAACTCATCTTACGAATGAAAGCAAATATACGTGTCGCAGGACAATGTTACAGGATCCAATCTGGCTCGCTCACCAGGACTAGAAGTTTAGTCTTCTGAGATTTGTGCTGGAGCCCATTCTCTGCGAATTTCTCTTTCATCAAAACGAGAAGCTGAGAGAGAAGTTCTCCGAAGATGGGCTCCATCACAAGCTTGGAAGACCCAGATTGGATCCTGCAGACTCATCTTCTCTCTCTTAATTTCTGATGTCGATTGTCCCTTCCTTTCCCAGCCCTTCCCATCCCTTCACAATCTCTCCCACCAACACTTTTAGCTCCAATTAATATGTTATTAATTAAAATAGCATCTTAGGCTAGCGCAATGCCTTATTTCAGGCACCTATAATCAACATTTGAACTATGAAATTATTTTCCAAGTAACACATCCAGGGTGAACTGATAGGAACAGGTGTTTTGCACCAGTGCTACACACACCTGGGTTTCAAGGTCCACAAGTTTGAACAGATTTTTCTATTTAATTCAGACAACAGCCATGCCAGGAACATTTCTGGTTTTAGCCATCCATTCATCCTTCTAGAAAGGGATGCACATTCTGTCATTTTTGTACAGGCAGTCCTCAACTTACAACAGTTCATTTAGTGACCATTTGAACTTACAATGGCACTCACAAAAGTGACCGTTTTTTCATACTCACAACTGTTGCGGCATCCCCAGACCAGGGTAGGCAACCTTGGCTTTTTTATGACTTGTGGACTTCAACTCCCAGAATTCCTGAGCCAGCCATGCTGAGGGGAAAGGGAGAGGTTTCCAAGATGAGCCATGCTGGCTCAGGAATTCTGGGAGTTGAAGTCCACGCGTCATAAAAGAGCCAAGGTTGCCATAGACACATGATCAAAATTCAGATGCTTGGCAACTGACTCGTATTTATGATGGTTGCAATGTCCCGGGGTTATGTGATCTACTTTTGGGACCTTCTGGCAAGCAAAGTTGATGGGGAAGCCAGATTGACTTAACAACCGTGTGACTAACTTAATAACTGCAGTGATTCATTGAACAACTGTGGTAAGAAAAGTTGTAAAATGGGGCAAAACTCACTTAACCAATGTGTCGCTTAGCAACAGTAATTCGGGACTCAGTTGTGGCTGTAAGTCGGGGATTATCTGCCTAGCAATGTTTCTCAACTTTGGCAAGATGTGTGGACTTAACTCCAAAAATTCCCCAGCCAGCATTGCTAGTTTGAGAAACACTGGCCTGCAGTATCACATTCATACACGTTTATAAATCACTCCGTGTATTGTACCAATGAAGCCAGGAGAAAGAAGAAGCTGGATATTAAATACCACTAAATCTTTCAAACGCTTGTAGCACCCATTAGATTCTAGGCCAACGTGTAACTGAAAGAATTGTCAGCATCATTATCCAAATCTTCTTTTCTGCAGCTCAGCTGAGACATTATTTTATTTTAAATCCTGAGTAATTGCCACCTGCTGTTTCATGTGCTTCTACTTTGCACAAAGCTTAACAACAAACTTAATTAGGCTAATTCTAGTCAGATTAATATTTCCTGTCTTTCGGCACTAGCTGTGCCACATGCTACGTGCTTGCCAAATTAAATGGAGGGATACAGGAAATGTTGATTTCTAACTAGGTGCATGCTTTAAGATGCACTGCAGGATGGGAGGTAACTCAAGCTGGGTGAACACTCCAAAGGTCCAGTTCATGCAAATGGAAAGTGATTTCTAAGCAGGAATTGGGAGCTGATGTTCTACTTTAGAAGTAGGCAATACTACAGCTAGGAACGAGGGACGAGAGGCATATCACAAAAGCAGGATTTCAGGAAATAGCCCAAATCTGAATAGAGGGGATCAGGAGCACTTAGTAATACTGTATTTCCCTGAAAATAAGACCTAGCCAGAAAATAAGCCCTAGTATGACTTTTCAGGATGCTTGTCATATAAGCTCTACCCCCAAAATAAGCCCCAGTTAAGAGCGTCAGCCAGACGGATGCATTTAGTACCGTATTTCCCCGAAAATAAGACCTAACTGGAAAATAAGCCCAAATATATCTTTTGGGGCAAAAATTAATATAAGACCCCGCCTTATTTTAGGGTAAACACGGTAGCAGTAGCACTTTGATTTATATACTGGTTCATAGTGCTTTACAGCCCTCTCTAAGCAGTTTACAGAGTCAGCCTATTGTCCCCAACAATCTGTGTCCTCATTTTATCAACCTCGGAAGGACGGAAGGCTGAGTCAACCTTGAGCTGGTCAGAATCAAACTACTGGCACTGGGCAGAGTCAGCCTACAATGCTGCATTCTAACTACTGCACCACCACGGCTCCAGGACTGAGTCTGCCCATGAATGCCAAAAGCAGGTCTGGGGAATGGTTGATCTGATGATTGGAGAAGACAGCAACAGGAAAAGGCTGAACAGTTTAATGCCTATTTTGCATTTGTCTTTTCACCGGAAGTCAGCATGCCCCAACGCTTGTTATGGATGGCTTGCCTGAGTTTTCGTAACGTTTCACAGTAGACTTCTGAATTGATGATAGAACTACGCTCCATGAACTTCACTAGCAGTACTCCTTTGGCATCTTCACATTTGATGGGGTTTTCTATGGCACCACTTCCGGTGTGGTGTTGATTCACAATAATGCTCGCCTGCACACCGCTAGACGCACCCAAGAACTTTTCAAGCAGTTCCGTTGGGATGTTTTTGATCACACCCCCCCCCCATATAACCCAGATTTGGTGCTGAGTGACTGCGACTAAGGAATTTCAAACCTTGTAAGACGTTATGACAAGTGCCTCGATTTGAATGGCGATTATGTCACAAAGTCATGTAATGTTGTAGTTTTGTAATGTGTATAATAAAAGTTCTGTATCTGTGAGTGTCTGTCATTGATAACCAAAAGAAGATTTATTTCTGAATTGCAAATCGTATGATTTGCATTTTCTTTTACTTATTTCTTTTATTCTATTTTTAACATAGGGTCCTATTACTGTTCTGTTTTGTATTTTGTATTCTGAGATGGTCTACAGGCTAATCAATTAAGTATCAATGAATGGGAATGGAAAAAGAAAGCTACAGACCAGTCAGCTTGACCTGCTTAGCTTCCAAGTATGGACAGATATATGGATAGATTGACCAGGCATTGCTATCTGATAAATTCACTGGCACATCAATTTTCTTGGCTATGATATGGAAGTGATTTGCCATCATTTTATTCTGGGATGTTTTTTCAACTTTTCAATCTAGAATACAGCACTGCAATTTCCTAATGGTTGTCCATGGAGATCCTCAGTCACCCAACTCATGGTTATCCCAAAGATGCTTTTTCAAGAGACAAGTGGACTTCGTTTTTCCTTGAAGACTTTTCGCTTCTCACCCAAGAAGCTGATTCCTGATTCTTGAAACATTAGCCAGATCTGATCCTCCTTAGTCAATTTCCTTTAGCTTTCAGGGTGCTTGTCACCTACGTGGACAGATGCTGAAGTACCTTGTTTTAATTTTGCATTTGCCAGAGCATTATGGATTTGGCTTCTGACCTGTTACCGTCTTTATCCAGGCTGAGATTCCGGCTTAGTCAAGAATTTTCTCCTATCAGTTTTGATGGTAATGTTATGCACTTGTGGAAAGAGATCTCTGGGCTTGGGACCTCATACCTCAATTGATTTCTCATAAGACCCTGATTGGATTTATGACATTACAATTAACTTCTGAATGTTTTATTGTTGGCTTCGGGCCATAAAAAGGGCACCTTCTTTCTTGGATTATTCTACTTTGAATTGGCAAACAACAGTATGAAGGGGAGTGATATTTCCGCACATCACAGCCTAAGCTGCTTTAAAAAATTGCCCTGAGCTCTTTTTAAAAATTGACCAAATGCATGCGCAATAAATAAAATAATCATAATATTTCCTTAATGTGAAATATACACTGTTTAACCACCAGACGTTATTTAATAATGAAGCTCCCTAATGACGCACAGCTACGAATTCACAAATACTAATATTGTCCGGTAATGTTACTCGAGAGATTTTCTCCATCACCTCGTTAATTTACAGACGCTATTCAGATGCCAGTATTCTCAAAAGCAGTAGCTTTTCCTGTGTAAGGATTATTTGCAAGTTTCTAAAAAAAAAAGTATTTATGATATACAGGTAGTCCTTGACTTACAACTTACAATGGACCCCAAGACTTCTGTTGCTAAGTGAAACAGTTCACGTGACCACGGGGGGATGCTGCTATGGTTGTAAGTGTGAAAAAAATATGTTGTAAGTCACTATTTTCAGTGATGTCATAACTTTGAATGGTCATTAAATGAACTGTTGTATGTCGAGGACTACCTGTATAAAAAAAATCAGGAAAATAAGCAGATGTATAACACAGAAATAGATCATAATAAAGACAAGCTTTCCAAGCATTATAAAATACACGAGGGGAAAAAACATAACACTGCCGATTGACGTACAACCATTTGTTTAGTGACTGTTTGAGGTGACAACGGCACTGAAAAAAAAGTGATTTGTGACTGTTTTTCACACTTACAACCATAGCAGCATCCCCCGTGGTCACATGAACTGCCTCACTTAGCAACAGAAATCTGGGGGTCCATTGTAGTTGTAAGTCAAGGACTACCTGTATATCATAAATACTTTTTTTTTAAGAAACTTGCAAAAATCCTTACACAGGAAAAGTTATTGCTTTTGAGAATACTGGCATCCGAATAGCGTCTGTAAATTAATGAGGTGATGGAGAATATCTTTTGAGTAACATTACCGGACAATATTAGTATTTATGAATTCGTAGCTGTGCATCGTTAGGGAGCTTCATTATTAAATAACGCCCATGGTCACGTGATCAAAATTTGGGCACTTAGCCTGTATTTGTGATCATTGCAGTGTCCCAGGGTCATGGGATCCCGCTTTGACAATCAAAGTCAATGGAGAAGCCAGATTCACTTAACAACCATGCTACTAACTTACCAACTGGAGTGGATTCACTTAACTACTGTGGCAAGAAAGGTTGCAAAATGGAGCAAAGCTCACTTAACAACTACCTTGCTTAACAGCAGTAATTTCGGGCTCAATTGTGGTCATTAAGTCAAGGACTACCTTCAATAATTGGCGCTATTGTTTTAGTACTCACCAATACAGATCATAGGATACCATCCGCTTGTTTTGGCATTCAACAAACAAGCATTGACGCACTCCAGGAGGGGTGCCAGGATTAAAAACGGCAAGATGCTTATTAAATTCATGGCAGCGATTGGCAAAAGGAATCCATTCAGATTCAGATTGGAATTCATTGTCTGTATATAATATCCGGATGGAATCTGAATAGCAAAGAGAAATGCTTTAGTCTGGTTGATGATCCAACCTCCTTCCACTCATGGAAAAGAAAGAAAATAAAGGGATTTTGTTGTTGTTGTTGTTGTTTACCTCCATTTCTGAAGGGGTACGTTTCATCGCATGCTAAAATTAAAGAGACAAAAGTGTGCATCTGAACCAAACCAAACCAAATTTAAAACCAAAGCATAACTCACTCACCTGCATAAGACATGATCTATAGAGGATTTGGAAGGCAAATAAAGGAAAGAGACGGATGAGCAATTTTGTGTTTTCCACTTGTGTTTCGGTGTAGCGGCCTCCATAGTTTTCCTTGGCGTGGTCCAGCCAGTTTGCCACATTCCCACTGAAATAGCGGCATTGTACGCAACACAGCTTCAGTGCATTGACAACTATGCCACAGATTGTCAACAGGCAACTACCTAACAACAAGACAGAGGAGAAAATAGTTTACAACACAGACTTTATAAGACCAAACCTGCCTGCTATAGCAGTTGGCACCCCTTTCTGAAAGTTTTGGCAGATTTCAACTGGTGAAGAAATTAGGTCAGGGGTTTGTCGCTCTAATAGTTGCTTAGAAATCTCTCTTCACCACAAAATCCAACCTAACAATTCAAAGGATTAAAGCAACAGGGCAGAAAATCTGTATTTTACTAAATGTACTAACTATAGAGTGGGGCCATTCTTAGTTCCAATAGGAGTTGTTTGTAGACTGAACCTCAGCACAGAAAAATTCAGTAAGATGCAGATAATAACCATATCCCTGATCTGCAAAAACACCCAACTTTTTCTTACCATTGACAGTTGGATCATCCCTAAAAGCTGAGAGCCAGTAAGTGTTACCTACTGTAACACCTGTAGGTATTATGGTAGCTATAGCCAACTTCACAAGTGGATCCAACATTAATTTAAAAAAAAAAAGGAATGAAAAGGGTTGAATTTTTGTGTTCCTCTCCAAACGTCTTGGGTGATTTTGGCTGAGAATGCCAAAAATTTGATGTCTTTTCATGACTGAGATCATTTTTGGATATGTATACCTGCATACTCCATTTAATCCTCCAGGGAAAGATTGAAGGCAAACGAGGTCCAGGCAGAAGAAGAACATCATGGATTCAAAATCTAAGGGACTGGTTTGGACAAAACTCAACAGCACTTTTTCGTGCGGCTGCTAATAAAAATAGGATCGCCAACATCCGATAACGGATATGGCACAAGAAGAAGAAGATACCTGCACTAAAGACCAGTACAAGATTGTTTGATCCAGCCAAGATCTCCAGACCACTGATGGCGATCACTGATCGTCACATAAAGGGATGGACATAATCCAGTAGGCAATGCTTTAAATAGCTTAACCAGTGGTGAGATTCAAATATGTGAACAAACGGTTCTCTGTGTGGATGTTGCTTCCAGAAATCCATTCTGGGCCTGGGCAACAAAAAATTAGCTACCGGTTCTGCCAAAGTGGTGCAAACTTAACCCTAAATTAAATAATGGTTTATTCACCACAACAAACGCTACTCAAAAGCAAGCGGTTACCAATACCTATCTAAAATAGAATAGAATAGAATAGAATAGAATAGAATAGAATAACACTTTATTTGCCAAATATGATTAGACACACAAGAATTTAGTCTCCAGTGCGTAAGCTCTCAGTATACAAGTTTGGGAGGATAAGAGAGGAACTCAACAGAGTACATAAAATAAACAGTGTAGGAGACAAACAGCAAGAGGAAAGAGTTGATAATTGATGTAAGGGATTCTTAGTGACATTGCAGATAATGAGGGTGGCAGACCAAGTGCTTAAATGAGCAATAGTCTAACAGGGTCCTGGAATTGATTTTCTTAGGTCACTTGATTCCAAGTATAAATTGGAAGAATTCCAGGCCAGGGTGCCTCTGGTTCCTTACGCTGTCCAACAACCTTTGTGGCTAAAAATCCACATATCTGTTAAATTAATGTTCTTTTTCCATTCTTATTTTGACCATCTTAAGTTTGTTTCACCCCATGCTTTTGCGGGTGCATTTTTAAAATTTCTGTAATATGTGAAAATTGACCAAAGAAATGCAATTTTTGCATGCTGTTTCCCTATCTTCTTTTACATGCTGTTCTCAAAAATACGCATTATTTTATGTACTTTACCTAAATATCCCTATTTTAATGGCATGTCCTAGTTTAGAGACCTGTGCCACAAAGTCTGACAAAATTGGAATGTTGAAGGAAAACCTCAGGCTGGCTTAGGACATTTGTTTGGGAAGCGAAAATTAGATCAATACGCAATGCAGTATAGTTACTGAAGGATTTTGGAGAATGCATAGAGTTATGGAGCCTTAAATTTTTCACCTTGATAGAAATTTCTTTGATGCTCAGGTGTCACGTCAGCCTTTACCTAATAAAACTTTTGCACTCATTTCAGCTGAAAAATGACCGCAAATATGTAGGGTCCTGTCTGGTAAAGTGAAGGGGCAATCATATTTTCACTAATGTGCTCCATGCATATTTTGGTCCTTGCTGGAGTTTGCAGGAAGTCCTTGACTTACAACCATAACTGAGCCTGGAACTTCAGTTGTCAATCATGCTGGTCATTAAGAAGGTCATCGTGCGAGCATGCCCAATTTTAGGCCTTTTTTGCACCCATCTTTAAATGAGTCACTGTGGATCATTAAGTGAATCCATTGTTCACAATGGGCATTTTTTACTGGAAAAATGTAAATGCTAGTTTTTGACAAAAATCATTGTGAATCACAGTAATGTGATCACAGGCCATAAAGTGGGGGGGCACAGGGAGGGTAGCCATTGAAACTTTGAATTCTGGTCATAGGTAGCATGGGGAGAGACTCCTAAGTGGACGTTAAGTCAAGGGCTATCTGTAATAAAAACATTATTGTATGTATCTCCAAACGTGCACGTAATATATCCTGGAATTTTGGAACAAAACTACAGGAACTGACTAAAGTATGTTTTATAAGCTATATTCCTTTCCTACCTTTGTACCTTTTCTCCTTTAAATCTTGGCTCCTGTGTTCTCCTCTGACCTTGAGTTAATCTATGCTACTTAATTACAGTAGTTTAAAAGGCTAGATGGCTCTCTAGATGATTCCCCCCATCCCTACCTCAATCTTTGGTCAACTGCCAATTGTCAAAATTATAGCCCAACGAAGACATGGAAATGAAATCCTTGCTTGACATATGCTGGGCCCACGTATGAAAAAGAAAAGACCTCTTTAAAATAGAACTCGGTAATTTCTTTAAGGTCACTGATGGACTTGAATTATTGGCTTGAGAGAAAATTCTAGCCAGATCATCTTATTGGAAGAAGTTAGAACAAGGTTATAAATTTAGCTATTTGGAAACAGGAGTAGCGCTGCTTGAACAATTGGTCAAAAGGGGTGTGAAAAGAGACAAAAAGAAACATCCCCAAGGAACAAAAATCATATCAATCTATTGGGAAGATTAATGCAATCCAGAGAAGATTGGTTTGGAGTAAAATCTGGGATAATTTAGCCAAAACACTACTTCTCTCATAATCCTGGAATCCCCTGGGAGTGCCAATCACTCTCTTTCAGAGTTAGGGTTTGGGTAGTGCTAAAAGGCACCTGATTAAAAAGACAGAGACCCTGAGTTCTAGTCCTGCCTTAGGCACAAAGTCAGCTGGATGACTTTGGGCCAGTCCTTCTTTCTTAACCTCAGGAAAAAGCAAGCAAGAGCAAACCACTTCCAAAAGTCTTGCCAAGGAGACTGCTGGGACTTATCTAGATCAGGGCTTTTCAACTAGTGGTATGGGTACCACTTGTGGTACATTGGCACCTGGCAGGTGGTATGCGACCATCCTAGAAAAGTGGTAGCAGGGGAGGGGAATGAGCTGAACCGGTGGCAGCACCGCACAAGCATAGCTGACTCAGGAATTCTGGGAGTTGAAGTCCACGAGTCATAAAAGAGCCAAGGTTGCCTACCCCTGAACTAGTCAAAGTCAATGTAACTGTGGCCTATATGTGAAGCTTTAGGTGTTAAGAGAATCCTTACTGGACAATCTTAAATGGCCGTTTTTAAAACCTAGGATGTTCCCCCCACTTGATTAAATTAACCATATAATGTAACTGCTTACCTCTCGGGGGCTGATAAATCATTTCACTACGTGCCATGTGAATCGTGATCAGTCCCATAAGGACAGAAACAAACGGAATAAGAAAACCCAGGTTTTGGGCCACCGACTGCTGGATGTATGAGATGCTGATGAAGACAACGGCTGAACTGAGGTTGATCAACCAATAAAACCTGTAAGGGGAAATGGCAACAATCATTATTTCTAGAGACAGGTGAAAAAGAACTTTTATTTGTGAGAAGAAGCTGGTTCCTTTTTCAATGGAAATCACAGTGCCAGCCTGAATGGAATAAACCCAGGCCAATGCTCGGCAGGATCCTGGGGTCATGTGATCACTTTTTGTGACCTTCTCACAAGCAAAGATAAGATAAGAGATAAGACAACCTTTATTGTCATTTTTTTTTACTGTGGGCACAACGGCACACATCAAAAATGAAATTTAGTTGCCCACTCTCAAAGTGAAACGCATACATGACACATAACTAAACATACTATGTACAACATATGTATAGACCCACATCCCTACATATACATAGCAAATAAATATTAAATATTGTCCATCTTGAATATATAACGGAAGGAGGAAGCTTGAGAGTTCACAAGGTTAATGCTGTATGGAATGAAACTATGGCTGAATCTGGATGTTCTGCTTCGGATACCATGAAGCCTCCTCCCAGAAGGTAACACGGAAAATAGGTCGTGAAGAGGATGTGTAGTGTCCCAGATAATCTTACGGACCCTGCTCAAGCAGCACTTCTGTGCCATGTCCTGGATGGGAGGGAGGGAACTGCCAATGATCTTTTCGGCCATTCCCACCACTCTCTGCACCGCCTTCCTGTCTGAAGCAGTGATGCTTCCAAACCAGACTGTGATGCTGTATGATAGGATGCTCTTGATTGTCCCCCTGTAGAAAGTGGTCAGGACGGGGGAAGGAAGATGTGCTTTTCTCATGCGACCCAGAAAATGCAAGCGCTGCTGTGCCCGCTTCACCAGTTTCTCGCTGTTGAGCAACCAAGCCAGCCTATTCATTAGCTGCACACCCAGGAATTTGATGCTGGTAACCATCTCCACAGGTGAATCATTAATGTGCAGAGAAGTGTGATTGTGCTTGCCTTTTCTGAAATCGACAATGATCTCTTTGGTTTTTCCAGTGTTTAAAACTAGGCTGTTTTCCTTACACCGATTCACCAACCCCTCAACCTCCTTGGGGTAAGCTTCCACCTTGTCATCCTGAATAAGGCCTACTACTGGACAAGAAGCAACGGATGGAAATTAATTAAGGAGAGAAGCAACCTAGAACTAAGGAGAAATTTCCTGAATTAATTAGTGATGCAACCTGCCTCCAGAAGCGGTGAATGCTCCAACACTGGAAGTTTTTAAGAAGAGACTGGACAGCCATTTCTCTGAAATGGTATAGGGTTTCCTGCCTGAGCAGGGGGTTGGACTAGATGACCTCCAAGATCCCTTCCAACTTCTTCTTCTTCTTCTTCTTCTTCTTATTATTATTATTATTATTATCATCATCATCATCATCATCATCATCATCATCATCATCATCATCATTATTATTATTATTATTATAGTCAGTGGGGAAACCAGATTCGCTTAAACACCATGTTACTAACTTAACAACTTCAGCGACTGACTTAGCAACTGTGGCAAGAAAGATCATAAAATGGGGGCAAAACTCACTGAACAACTGTCTTCCTTAGAAAAAGAAACCTTGGGCTTAATTGCAGTCGTAAGTCGAGGATTACCTAGTCTGTCCTGGTGGGAGCAAGCCCACTAGGCTTTTCACATGACAATTTCCTCACCAAGGAGTTTTGCCGGACGGCCTTCATTGGACCTCTGTTGGATTTTTTTTCTTCTTCTCACAATGACAGACATAATTCAAAAGTGTTTTTTTTTTTAAAACCCCAGTAATTTTAGATCAAAAGCATTTAAGGGACTCCAAAGGTCAAGACAGAATCTTTGTATGCTGGAAGACGAGAGACTGGGGGAATCCCCCAGTGGGTATTAACACTGAACTAAACTATCTTTCATCTTGTTAGAGCAGAATGGCAGTGGCTGAGTCAGAGTCATAGAACTGCCTAATGGGCCAAAGAGAATACAGGCAGCAGTTGAAGGATGGAATAATGATAGATCCAACTGGAATGCTTTTTGAAATAGAAATAAAATCATAGGGCTGGAAGCGACCTTGGAGTTCTTCTAATCCAGGGATAGGCAACCATGGCTCTTTTATGACTCGTGGACTTCAACTCCCAGAATTCCTGAGCCAGCATGGCTCAGCTTGGAAACCACTCCCTTTTCCCTCAGCATAGCTGGCTCAGGAATTCTGGGAGTTGAAGTCCACGAGTCATAAAAGAGCCAAGGTTGCCTACCCCTGTTCTAGTCCAACCCCCAGCTCAAGGCAGGAATCCTTATTCCATTTGGGACAAATAGTTGAGCAGTCTTCACTTCAAAATGCCCACCAATTGAGCTCCCAGGGCAGTGGTGGGATTCAAATAGGTGAACGTCATGGATCTGCCCCTGGACCCCTCTCTGGATGTGGGTTCTGAAGAGAAGGATGAGATTGAGTTGGCAGAGGAACGCCAAGCGATGGTCCAGGTTGGGGCTCAGAGAGTGCTAGCCAAAGGAGCAGCCTCAGTTGGGTCAATCGGATAAGTGACAGGCTGTGGCTGAACCAGGCTAGCTGTCAGGTCCCCCAAATCCTCATTGTTTCCCCTGCATAGTTATTCTACTTTGGGGTCCTGCCATTCTGCTGGGGGGAGGGCGAGCACGCTTTCGCTTGGGATAACTTTCGACTTCTACTTTCCCTCTCCTGCCTCTATCAGCTTGAGAAAGGAATGCGTCTCCCTTCTCAGGGAGACGGGTGCAGAGAAACGAAAGCTGGAGAAGACCTTGAGATGCGCGCCAACTGTGCCAGCCGGCCACACTTCGTGCCACCAGTGGATTGGCTGGATTTCAAATGGACATTATGACTTTGGTGGGAGGAGGAATTTTGCTAGCTTAACTATACCCTTTGCACGGGTTTTTCCCCAGATCTCGCCTTGACTTCCCTACTGTCACTGACCCCTAATAAAAATATCCTTTTGGGACGCCTGTTTCAAGAGTTCTGCTTTCTTGGGTGGTTAGTTGAAGTGGGTCCTTACACTAACCAGAGGTGCCACAAGTTGGCCAGGATACTCCAGGAGAGGACCAGGACCAGCTGCCACCCATTAGCAATGAGGGGAAGGCGTAGTCCATACCTCCTCCTTATCCAAGGACATGTAGGGTGGAGAGGAGACAGGCAGACTACTTGCCACAGCTAGACTACTTGAGAGGAGGTAACCTCGCCTCTGGTGAAGGGCTGCATCCAGTGGTGGGATTCAGATATGTGAACAACCGGTTCTCTGTGTGGGTGCCACTTCTGGAAGTCCATTCTGGGCCTGGGCAACACAAAATTAGCTACTGGTTCTGCCAAAGTGGTGAGAACTGGCTGAATCCCACCACTGGTTGCATCTGAGGACCTGCTTGGTGGGTTTGAATAAACACCTGTAGAACTCTTGCTCTACCTGTGTGTCTCTGTGTGTGTGGGGAAGCGGGGCAGCACACACAGAAGAAATAATGGCGCAATATAAATCTGTAGAGTGGCTAGGCCACTGGAAATCTACTTTACGAAGAAGAACTCTCAAGCTTCCTTCTTCCGTTATATATTCAAGATGGACATCATTTAATATGTATTTGTTATGTACTGTATATGTAGGGGTGTGGGTCTATACATATGTTGTATATAGTATGTTTAGGTGTGTGTCATGTATGTGTTTCACTTTGAGAGCGGGCAACTAAATTTCATTTTTGATGTGTGCCGTTGTGCCCACAGGAAAAAAAAATGACAATAAAGGTTATCTTATCTTATCTAATTGCAGTTGTGTACCTTAGTGCTGTTCACATTAAGTGGCAAAAGGCACAAAGTTTCAAATAAGGGCACTTCCCAGTTTTACCTGAAGAAGTCATAAATTGAATCTAAGTCCATCTGCATGCATAGATTCTGCCCCACTCTTGAGTTATCACTCTTTGGGGCCTCCTCAGTTTACCTGTAAATGCAACTTCAGATTTTCCCAGAGGTGTAAGATACACATAGGGCAGATTTACGTACTATTATATGAGGAATCACAGCTTCTCATTCTCAGATTATGGATTAATTTGCTGAAACTTTCAATCTCGCAAAGATAGGGATTGGTTAACTCACTGAACATTTCTGCTTACAGATTAATGGGCAACGAGTAGCTCCGATAAGCATTAAAATATAGAATTGTTATACGTGTATTTTAAACACAGAGAAGCACAGGTAAGTGTTCTTTCATTTACTATCTTGATTGGTATATCCACCCTTAAGAGGAACCGAAATTAAAATTCACTGAACATGGAAGAGGAAGGTGGTAAAGGAAAAATAATATAGATAAAGGGCTACAAAAAATATTGTGAGTCAGAATCAAAAGGGATAATCTTTGTTCCGGAGCAGTTTATAGTCATATATCCTGAAAAAAAGTGGAAAGTCTACACCAGGGGTAGGCAACCTTGGCTCTTTTATGACTCGTGGACTTCAACTCCCAGAATTCCTGAGCCAGCCATGCTGAGGGGGAAAGGGAGAGGTTTCTAAGCTGAGCCATGCTGGCTCAGGAATTCTGGGAGTTGAAGTCCACGAGTCATAAAAGAGCCAAGGTTGCCTACCCCTGGTCTATACCAATGTTTTTCAACCTTGGCCAGTTTAAGATGGGTAGACTTCAACTCCCAGAATTCCCCAGCCGGCTTAAAGTGGCCAAGCTTGAGAAACACTGGTCTACACCAGGGGTGTCAAACTGCCAGCCCGCGAGCCGGATGCGTCATAGCGAAACCGCACCTACCTCATTGCCGGCAATGGTAAAAAAAAGTCGTGATATGTCACGTGATGCTGCGAGTTTGATACCCCTGGTCTACACTTTAATTCTCACAGAGAGTTTTGTTTTTTTTTAAAAAAGTACCAAGTTCCCTTTTTTAGTTTAGAATCCAAAACAGAATAAAGTCAACAGATCTCAAGTGGGGACAATTCAGAATGATTAAAGGCACTCCTTGATTTACAACACTTCGTTTAGCGACTGTTCAAAGGTACAAGGGCACTGAAAAAAGTGACTTATGACCGTTTTTCACACTT